ATCTTTAATAAATATTTGTCATGAGGTTTTAATATGAAATATTTATTAGAAATGTCTTACTCAAATTTCTAAAATTATTGATTGATTCAATCATCTAAGAAAATGATTGCAAGAAAAAAAATCATTAAAATTTTAGCTTTTGATATGGTACTTTGAATTACTATTTTCTTTTTTATAGTAACAAACTTAATATGGAATATACACAAAAACAGGAAAGACATCAAAGGATCAAAATACAATCTTCAATAATGGGCAAATGTAACTGTCCATGCCATTTATGCAAGTTTTAAATTGCCCAAAATCTAGTTAAGTTTTGAATAAATTTTACTAAGACTACTGAGGATTTATTATTATTCATGTGATATCAATTTTTGTTGATTTCGTGGGTGCACATGAACCACAATTTAAATATTCAACACTATATAAATTTTCTATAGCATTGTATGGAGACTTTCCACGGAAATATAATGTTTCCTTATTCCACAAAAATAAATGGATCCACAGTATGATCCGCTATCGACACTAAATGATAGAAAGGACAAAAGCACAAAGTTGACATTAAAGTATGGCAGTTTTAAACAACTTTTTCAGTAATCAGCCCTACATCACATTGATATAAATGTTAAAAACATAAGTACAAGTACAGCAGTTCTGTATAGTATCTTATAAAAGAATGTTTGCCGTTATGTAAACTGTCACCAAAGGCAACTTTGGAGTATTTAATGATCTTAATCTGATGATATATACTAAATACCTTCTTACAATTTGATATCAGGTGCTGTATTTATGAATGGATTTCATACAGCAAGTTTTTGTGCAATGCCTATAGTACTGTAAATTATGTTGTTCAGAATTTTAATACATAAAATAAAATAAATGAAACAGTTTAGTTCATTTTTATACGACCGCAAAATTTTTTGCGGTCGTATATTGGTATGACGTTGGCGACGTCGTCCTGCGTCGTCCGAAGACACATTGGTTTTCGCACTCTAACTTTAGTTTAAGTGAATGGATCTCTATGAAATTTTACCATAAGGTTCAATACCACAAAAGGAAGGTTGGGATTGATTTTGGGGGTTATGGTACCAACAGTTAAGGAATTAGGGGCCAAAAAGGGGCCAAAAATAAGCATTTTTGTAACTTCCAGACATAACTTGTGTGTTAGTATATGGATCTCTCTGACATTGTACCACAAGGTTCCATATCTCAAAGGGAATGCTGGGATTGATTTTGGGGGTAATTGCCTCAAAATATTAGGAATTAGGGGCCAAAAAAGGGGCAAAAAACAAGCATATTTCTAGTTTCATGACAATAACTTGTGTGAAAGTGTATGGATCTTTCTGAAATTGTACTACAAGGTTCCATATCACAAAGGGAAAGCTGGAATTGAGTTTGAGGGTAATTGCCCGAAACGTTTAGGAATAAGGGGCCTAAAACAAGCATTTTCTAGTTTCCAGACAATAACTTGTGTGTAAGTGTTTGGATATTTTTGAAATTGTACTGCAAGGTTCCATATCACAAAGGGAAAGCTGGAATTGAGTTTGGGGGTAATTGCCCGAAATGTTTAGGAATTGGGGGCCAAAAAGGGGCCAAAAAACACATTTTTCTAGTTTCCAGACAATAACTTGTGTTCAAGTGTATGGATCTCTCTGAAATTGTACTGCAAGGTACCATACCACAAAGGGAAGGCTGGGATTGAGTTTGGGGGTGATGAATCATAAGGGGGTTCAAAAAATTTGGGGGGGGGGTTTCCTTTTTTTTCTTTTTTTCCTTTTTTTTCTTTTTTTCCTTTTTTTTTCTTTTAAAATTTTCCATTTTAAGTTGGTTATTTCTGATTTATATTTAAAAGCAAATAATAATGATATGGTAGGAGATACACACCAAACAGGATGTGTAAATTATTATATAATAAGTATTGTGCAATAGCAAGAAATTTTCAATTGCACAGTATTGCACAATAGCAAGAAATCTTCAATTGCACAGTATTGCGCAATAGCAAGAAATATCCAATAGCACAATATTGCGCAATAGCAAGAAATTATCAATTGCGCAATAGCAAGAAATATTCAATTGCACAGTATTGTGCAAAAGAAGATACTTCGTATAAATTGCTTATTTCTTGACCAATTTCAATGGGGTTTTATTCTTGAATTCTTGGGGTTCTTTAATATGCTGAATCTAACCGTGTATTAAGTTTTTGGATTTTGGGCCCCATTTTTAAATTGGTCTACATTGAGGTCCAAAGGGTCCAAAATTAAACTTTGTTTGATTTCATCAAAAATTGAATTATTGGGGTTCTTTGATATGCCGAATCTAACCGTGTATTTAGATTCTTAATTTTTGGTTCCGCTTTCAAATTGGTCTACATTAAGGTCCAAAGGGTCCAAAATTAAACTAAGTTTGATTTAAAAAAAAATTGAATTCTTAGGGTTCTTTGATATGCTGAATCTAAACATGTATTTAGATTTTTGATTATGGGCCCAGTTTTCAAGTTGGTCCAAATCGGGGTCCAAAATTAAACTTTGTTTGATTTCAACAAAAATTGAATATATGGGATTCTTTGATATGCTGAATCTAACCATATATTTAGATTTTGGATATTGGACCATAATAGGTGAATGTCCAATTTAAAATTTTTAAATTGTTAATTTCTGTGTCATTTGGTCTCTTGTGGAGAGTTGTCTCATTGGCAATCATACCACATCTTCTTTTTTATAGTCATTCAAATAAAAAAATAAAACAACAACTACAAAACAATAATGATTAAATGATTTAGAAATGGAAGTATAAGATTCAGTGAAATCAGAAATATCACTGCGAACATTTTTGAACCATTTGAGAAATGAAAACTAATAGCTGCCTAGAGAAAATATCAATCAAGGAAAGGAAAATTAACAATAAGAAATGAAAAGTCATCTTGATTATGATAAATTTTGGTATGAAGATTACCTTAAATATTCTAATACCAAGGTCTTAAATGTGAGTCAGTAATATTTAGATTTGATTGATTAAGATAAAGTTTTATTGACTAAAGATCTTTGCACAAATGTCACAAGCGAAGCAGAAATGCTGACCCATCTGGTGCACCTGAGTTCACTCTCTGTTTTTGCTAGGTTTGCGTTTCTTAATCTTCAATTTGTGTGTAGTGTTTATAAACTGTTGTTTGTCTGTTCATCTTTCTATGACTTAGTTGAACAATTGTTATCTACTTCTCCTTTTTTTACAATTCTGTACTGGATACAGTAAATGCAGAAATTATTGCGATAAGTTTATTAATGTGAAAAAGGAGAGAGCAATAGGTTTGAAATAATAAAAACTAGCATTCATAATTTCAGTAGTGATTTTACATTGCAAAATATTTGCAATCACACTAATTAGATCTCATATTTTTATCAGTAATCATTGATTGGCATTAATACTTGCAGGCATTAATTTCTAAATTTACAGTATACAAATATTGATACCATCAAATAGAATTTGCTCATTCAAAATATCTAAAGTATTTTTGTTTGTTTTTGCAGATTGATACAAAAGATCCAAGATTTGAAGCTTTATATACTTCACATATGTATAATGTTGACCCTTCTGCACCTGAGTATAAAAAAACAAAGGGAATGAAAGATATCATTGATGCCAAACAGATATTCAGAAAGACAGATAATAAAAGAAAATCTTCACAGATAGATCAAAATGTGATAAAAACCAAAACTGCTAAAGTGAATGATGATACAAGACAGACGAAAGACACTTCTTTACAGAAACTAGTAGAATCTGTAAAAACAAAAACAAAACAATTTAAAAATAAAAAATAATAATAAACTTACTGAATTATCATTTAATACCATTCTATAGTTTCTAATCATAAGAAAAAGTAGTATAAAACTAATTTTTCTGCATGCAGTGTAGTTCTTATATAAGTATTACAATACCAGTTTAGTTTATAACGATATGTAGTTTTATTGCAAATTCAGAGACATGTAATGTTTTCAAAATATAACATGCAAGATTTTATTTTTGTGAAACCTATTTGTCCCAATTTTCACAATAATTAGACATCACAAAAATTACTGAATTGACAGTAATCATAGTAATTTTGTCTTGAATTTTTTTTACAATTCAAAGATTGTAATAGGATGTGGGCACTTGTTTATTATTGTTAAGGTTGTTCAGTGACATGAAGATGAGGTTTTTTGCTAACTTGTGTTGTTGAGTTGCTGTCTCATGGATTTCAGCCACTTTTCCTTTCAATCATATATATGATAAATTTAACTCCTGTATTAAAAAAATTAAAATAGGTGTCTCAGAATTTGGGACTAATAAATTAAGGTTGTTATTTATCTAAAATACAACCAAACAATCAGAATTTTTTTTTTTTATTCTGACAACTTTCTAAACATGGAAACATACTTTACATTGGGAGGCCTGACAAAGATTAGATGAATACTGCAAAAAAAGAAGTAACACTTTTTATATCATGAAGATAATTTGCAACCTGGAAACATAAAAAAAAGAATTAGTATAAAGTTAGCAGGTGTGGTATCATTGTCAATAGGAAAACTATCCACTAGAGACTAAATGACATAGATGTTAGCATCTTTAGGTCACTATAAGGCCTTACACTATGTGCAAACCGATACTGCAAAACAAGCTATAGACTCCACCATGACTCAAAATTATAAAACAATTAAAAGGAAAAACCAACAATATGATTTATGTACAAAACAAAAAAAAAACAAAAAATATGTGACCAGCCATGAGATTTTCAGGCATATAGAGGTACCAGGGTCAAAATGTGTTTTTTTTTCCTTCCTTTTTATGGTTACATAGCTTCAAAACACCATGGCAAGTTATTTTGCTAGATTCTTCAAAATAACAGAATTATGGTCATTTTTGTTGCTTTAGGTTTTTTTTTTAATATTTTTCAATTTTTCACATATATGTTCATCTATTATAGTTATCTTTGAAACTTGCCATATTTTTTTTTTTTTTTTTTTGGGGGGGGTAGGAGGTGTTTTTAGTCTTTTTTAATTAATCAAAATGTAATTGTAGCTTTAATAACTAAATAACTAAATAATTTGTATTTCTATATCAACCATTCGGTTGCCATAGCAATCTGCAATCTAAATAATAATGACATATACATTTTACTTTCTCTTATTGAAGACTACATCAACACTAAGAAAGTGAATACCAAGATTTATAATAAACCAGGAAGGAGCTGTGTATTATGAAGTATGCTTTCTAATGTTCATCTAATTATCTTATTGTGAATACATTTTGTACATGTATCCTGACAAAGTGATTAAATGAAAGATCTGTTAATGCAGAGTAAGATTAAATAGCATGATCAATAGTATTAGGGCATGTAGGTGAAGGGATATGAATAATATAAATAACTTTCAACAACACATACATCTTGTTTATGTAGTTCTAAGACAGACATAGTGTCCTAAGTCAGGAGTCTGTTGTTCAGTGGTTGTCGTTTGTTGGTGTGGTTCATTAGTGTTTCTCGTTTTTTACATAGATTAATTAGACCGTTGGTTTTCCTGTTTGAATTTTACACTAGTCATTTTGGGGACCTTTATAGCTTGCTGTTCGGTGTGAGCCAAGGCTCCATGTTGAAGGCCGTACTTTGACCTATAATTGTTTACTTTTTACACATTGTGACTTGGTTGGATAGTTGTCTCATTGGCACTCATACCCCATCTTCTTATTTATATAGATGAAAAAAAAGAATGAACATGGGATGAGACACTTTTAAATAAATTTTGGGTCCTAATGGGCAGGCATAACTTGCTTGATTTACATGTACTGGTATTTCTCTTATGGTTGTGGGCTGTTATCTATTTTTTGCATGAATAGATATGTCTATCACACTGCACGGAGTGTGATACACAAAAAGAGATACGAAAATCTGCGTTAATTTGTTTGGCTTATCCAGCATCATAAGACGATAATACGGCATTTCCATTGGCTGTTTGTTAGGTCATTGGTGACTTTCAAAGGTTAAGACGATGTACATTTCGTTCATGGCAACGGACATGTGTGTTTTCTTCAATAATATACAAAACACTCACACTTTTCACCTATCAATTTTCTTTTTGTCAAATTTTATTTCATTCTGAAGCATACAAAATGTCGTAAAATGTCTGATGTTAAAGTTCTACACCGGAAAAGGACACATGGCGTCATACTGGTATGTGCAAAAGAGTAGATCAAAGATTCGCGGAATTTTTAATTAAACACAAAGAGAGTGTTGACCATAAGAGAAATAGGTTTAACAGCGTGGTGATGAGTCACATTGGTTGATAGTAATAACGATGAAAGGAGGACAGGATTGTGGCTACAACAAATGGAACATATCCATCATGTCCATAGTCATTTTTAAAACAGATATTCTTTCATGTTCTATCAGAGTCATATGTATGTCTCTGGTTCCATCAATTCATGATCATCAGATGGTGTTCTTTAAACTAAACTGTCAACTCGTCTTTACTTGTTTTGCCATGGTGCTGTCCGTTTTCTTCGTCTTTTGGGCTTTGATTGTTCCCTTGCTGTCAATTTTCGCAACATTTTGAAACTGCTTGAAATGTGATTGTCTTTTACTTTTAAAATTCTTGCTCCCGGATTCCCAAAAATACAAACTTCAAATTTTAGTCATTTGTGCATTACATCTACTTTTAGTGAAAAGGTATGAGTATTTTTTTAACTAAATTATAAGATTGTATTATGCACCTATTCTGTTTTAGAGCTCCTGTTTACTAGCCTTGTTCGTTTAATTAACTATTTATTCTTTGGTTTGTCTGTATGCACGGAGTTGTATTGTGACAGATATTTGACATAAATTTTTGATAAAGATGACGTTACAATTATTCCTTCGATTTTATGTTTATCACGTTTTATATTATTGTAATAGAAAAATGCAATTTATTTTATTTCATATAGTTTATTAGTTAATGTATGTAAGTTCTACTCTGTAAACTATTTTATATAAAATTATTGTTTAACTGTTCTATACATTTTCAAAGCGTAGGATTTTTCAAATATGTCAAATAAATACTTTAACAAACTATTGAACGTATCTGTGCAATAAAACTTCAGCTGTGGCCAAATGGACCTTCGATTATATGTCCAGCAAAGTTTAATAAAACATCTTAAAAGTTCAGACAACGGTCAACCCACGTCAGCAACTTTATTTGTGTTAAGCTATAAAGCACAAACTAGTTCCATAGTTACTTTTGATTAAGATCTAAATTAATATTTATAATGTTATTTTATACTATGTTATATGTATTTACGTTGTAATTGTTTTATATTATAGTTAGGGAAATGTTAATAAATATATTCGAAACATAGGTTGGCAATTTTAGAATAAGAAATTGAAGAGATGAAAGAAAAACCAGTTTTATGTGACGTGTAATTTCGACCTAATCTTAGACCATAACTATATTTGAGCATTCTAAATTTTATTGATAACTCATAAATCATAAATTCTTTTGTTGGTTATAGTCTGTTAAGGGTTACTAGGACATTCAAAACTTAGTATATAAACTGATCAAGCCGCTATACTATTAATAGCGAGTTTCTTGATATTCTAGGTGAGTCTCTTGGTTTTAAAAATAATTTAGATTTAAAACTATTTTTCTTTCAATTTTATTTTGAAAAAATAAATAAAGTTATAAGTAACTAATATTTTAATTCAGAGGTTTATTTTAACAGTAATTATCATTGTTATTATTTGGTATTTAACTTGAATTGTTTGTAGTATTTTATCATTGTTTTCAACTTGTTCTGACTTCAAAATGTGTACTTTGAAATTAGATTGTAATTATTTCAATGTTTTCTTTATTAAATTAATAGCGAGATTCTTGATATTCTAGTTTGGTTTTCTTTCCTGTTGCTGTTTCCGGCCTCCCACCGTGAGCCTCCCCCTAGATTGTGCCACAGTGCTTTACAGTTGTCTGGATATAAAAACATCAAAAATACCAACACAATATAATAGTAGAGGACCATGTTTAGCAACGAAAAGAAAACAGCTAAACCAGGAAAGACACCTGACAACTACAAGAAACAACTACACACCAAACTAGACTCTGCGTTTGAAGGTTTGGATATCTTTGCAGACCAACAGGAAGACGTCATCAGTTTTAAGAAGCGCTATCCAATTGCAAATTCAGTTGCCAATTGTGACAACGATACTACTATTCCTTACGTGGACGACCAGCCTTTTTCTCAGTCGTCGCCTATACATCAACAATCCAATCCTTTCGTTTCATCGTGGACAGGGCAGCCAACTCTTCCATCGAGTATCACACCCGTACGACCATCTATTATACACAGGCCATTGATTCCTTCCACTCTTTTGATCATAGACATCTATTTGATACAATAATTGGTGGAGGCCCGTTTATAAATGGTGGACGACTTTTGAAAGGTGACACCAAACATCGACATCCAGACCTTACAGCATGCTAGCGTTTCGACAATTCGAACAGGAATATTTACATTTGAACATTGTTTTTGTACCGTTCGGACTATTTAATTTCATATGTATTTCCAGTAAATGATTTATTTGTGAATTAATCAGAATACACCATTGAATAACGACACCAGCTGAATATCAAAAACATTTATATAATGCATTATTTTCAAAGAAGAACTTTTATCAACATCAGTGACATTAATAACTTTAAAGTTATATTGTTGTGTATTTTTATTGTAAACATATATTTTCATGAAACTGTGAGTATATCAAATGCTTATTTAAAATATATTTTACAATCTAAATTTAAAATTTAAAATTTTCAGCTATGAAACAAAATGTTCATTCTCATTTCACAAATCGTATTGCGTTTCATGTCTTAAAATATTTAGAGAAACTTTATTAAAATACTGTTGAAATAAGTTATAAAATTATTTTTTGATAAAATGTTGTAAAATTTTATTCATTTAAATCATCCATTGAATAACTTTTCAGAATGATGTTAATTAGAACTTTGTTTGTATTTCAAACGCTTGTCAATATTATCATTTGCAATCAGTCATCTTTAAGATTAGGTTCAACTTTCATTTAGGGTTACATAAAGTAAATCTCTATGTTTGTTAGTTACCTATTAGGAACAAGTTAGTCAAATTCTTGTTGCCGTTTACTGTTGGATAATCTAATACCGGTACAAAGTAATAATAATTTAATATATATATATATATATATATAGGCAAGCATATTGCATAGGCTACCTGAATAGCAGGGACGCTGCACAAATACTAAATAAAGGGCTACCTCAGGAGCAGGGACGCCACAAATACTTATAAAGGGCTACCTCAGGAGCAGGGACGCCACAAATATTTAATATAATGGGTAACCTCAGAAGCAGGAACGCCATAATAACGATTAAACAGTAACTTAGAGACTGAAGTAAGCAATTCAAATTCTGTTAAAGTTTTATTCTAGTCCTTTCATATTTCTTATATTTTTGCAACATTTTGTTTAAAACACTTTGCATATATTTTTAATTAAATTTCATTAACTGTAAAATAAACGTTCAATTGTAAGCATGCGGGTAACAAACTTTCAAGAACAACAATTTAAAATTAATACCAAAATATTGTAACATCATAGACATCAATTGATTTATAAAGAATAACAATAAAACCACCAATTAAACAGGATGATTAACATGCAGTCTCAAAAATGAAAAAAAAAGAGAAAAATATTTTAAAAAGTAAGTTCAAGTTATTTTTTATCGCTTAAAATCAAAAACAAAATACTATACTTTATTTATTTTTGCATTGCAATCTTCTCAATTGCTTGTCTTCTATATTGTTTTGAGGTTTAATATGGATATTAATTATTTATTTACGTTAATAATTAAAAGTTATAAATCCATTTTCAAATTAATATAGTAAACATAAAATTGTATCCGATTTCTTTAAAATATTTTTTTTTAATTTATTTAATTTTGGAGTCCAAAATTTCTAAGGAGAGTGATATATTGTGACAGATATTTGACATAAATTTTTGATAAAGAGGACGTTACAATTATTCCTTCGATTTTATGTTTATCACGTTTTATATTATTGTAATAGAAAAATGCAATTTATTTTATTTCATATAGTTTATTAGCTATGTATGTAAGTTCTACTCTGTAGACTATTTTATATAAAATTATTGTTTAACTGTTCTATACATTTTCAAAGCGTAGGATATTTCAAATATGTCAAATAAATACTTTAACAAACTATTGAACGTATCTGTGCAACAAAACTTCAGCTGTGGCCAAATGGACCTTCGATTATATGTCCAGCAAAGTTTAATAAAACATCTTTTAAGTTCAGACAACGGTCAACCCACGTCAGCAACTTTATTTGTGTTAAGCTATAAAGCACAAACTAGTTCCATAGTTACTTTTGATTAAGATCTAAATTAATATTTATAATGTTATTTTATACTATGTTATATGTATTTACGTTGTAATTGTTTTATATTATAGTTAGGGAAATGTTAATAAATATATTCGAAACATAGGTTGGCAATTTTAGAATAAGAAATTGAAGAGATGAAAGAAAAACCAGTTTTATGTGACGTGTAATTTCGACCTAATCTTAGACCATAACTATATTTGAGCATTCTAAATTTTATTGATAACTCATAAATCAAAAATTCTTTTGTTGGTTATAGTCAGTTAAGGGTTACTAGGACATTCAAAACTTAGTATATAAACTGATCAAGCCGCTATTCTATTAATAGCGAGTTTCTTGATATTCTAGGTGAGTCTCTTGGTTTTGAAAATAATTTAGATTTAAAATTATTTTTCTTTTAATTTTATTTTGAAAAAATAAATAAAGTTTATAAGTAACTAATATTTTAATTCAGAGGTTTATTTTAACAGTAATTATCATTGTTATTATTTGGTATTTAACTTGAATTGTTTGTAGTATTTTATCATTGTTTTCAACTTATTTTGACTTCAAAATGTGTACTTTGAAATTAGATTGTAATTATTTCAATGTTTTCTTTATTAAATTAATAGCGAGTTTCTTGATATTCTAGTTTGGTTTTCTTTCCCGTTGCTGTTTCCGGCCTCCCACCGTGAGCCTCCCCCTAGATTGTGCCACAGTGCTTTACAATTGTCGGGATATAAAAAAATCAAAAATACCAACACAATATAATGGTAGAGGACCATGTTTAGCAACGAAAAGAAAACAGCTAAACCAGGAAAGACACCTGACAACTACAAGAAACAACTACACACCAAACTAGACTCTGCGTTTGAAGGTTTGGATATCTTTGCAGACCAACAGGAAGACGTCATCAGTTTTAAGAAGGGCTATCCAATTGCAAATTCAGTTGCCAATTGTGACAACGATACTACTATCCCTTACGTGGACGACCAGCCTTTTTCTCAGTCGTCGCCTATACATCAACAATCCAATCCTTTCGTTTCACCGTGGACAGGGCAGCCAACTCTTCCATCGAGTATCACACCCGTACGACCATCTATTATACACAGGCCTTTGATTCCTTCCACTCTTTTGATCATAGACATCTATTTGATACAATAATTGGTGGAGGCCCGTTTATAAATGGTGGACGACTTTGAAAGGTGACACCAAACATCGACATCCAGACCTTACAGCATGCTAGCGTTTCGACAATTCGAACAGGAATATTTACATTTGAACATTGTTTTTGTACCGTTCGGACTATTTAATTTCATATGTATTTCCAGTAAATGATTTATTTGTGAATTAATCAGAATACACCATTGAATAACGACACCAGCTGAATATCAAAAACATTTATATAATGCATTATTTTCAAAGAAGAACTTTTATCAACATCAGTGACATTAATAACTTTAAAGTTATATTGTTGTGTATTTTTATTGTAAACATATATTTTCATGAAACTGTGAGTATATCAAATGCTTTTTTAAAATATATTTTACAATCTAAATTTAAAATTTTAAATTTTCAGCTATGAAACAAAATGTTCATTCTCATTTCACAAATCGTATTGCGTTTCATGTCTTAAAATTTTTAGAAAAACTTTATTAAAATACTGTTGAAATTAGTTATAAAATTATTTTTTGATAAAATGTTGTAAAATTTTATTCATTTAAATCATCCATTGAATAACTTTTCAGAATGATGTTAATTAGAACTTTGTTTGTATTTCAAACGCTTGTCAATATTATCATTTGCAATCAGTCATCTTTAAGATTAGGTTCAACTTTCATTTAGGGTTACATAAAGTAAATCTCCTTGTTTGTTAGTTACCTATTAGGAACAAGTTAGTCAAATTCTTGTTGCCGTTTACTGTTGGATAATCTAATACCGGTACAAAGTAATAATAATTTAATATATATAAATATATATATAGGCAAGCATATTGCATAGGCTACCTGAATAGCAGGGACCCTACACAAATACTAAATAAAGGGCTACCTCAGGAGCAGGGACGCCACAAATACTTATAAAGGGCTACCTCAGGAGCAGGGACGCCACAAATATTTAATATAATGGGTAACCTCAGAGCAGGAACGCCATAATAACGATTAAACAGTAACTTAGAGACTGAAGTAAGCAATTCAAATTCTGTTAAAGTTTTATTCTAGTCTTTTCATATTTCATATATTTTTGCAACATTTTGTTTAAAACACTTTGCATATATTTTTAATTAAATTTCATTAACTGTAAAATAAACGTTCAATTGTAAGCATGCGGGTAACAAACTTTCAAGAACAACAATTTAAAATTAATACCAAAATATTGTAACATCATAGACATCAATTGATTTATAAAGAATAACAATAAAACCACCAATTAAACAGGATGATTAACATGCAGTCTCAAAAATGAAAAAAAAAAAAAGAGAAAAATATTTTAAAAAATAAGTTCAAGTTATTTTTTATCGCTTAAAATCAAAAACAAAATACTATACTTTATTTATTTTTGCATTGCAATCTTCTCAATTGCTTGTCTTCTATATTGTTTTGAGGTTTAATATGGATATTAATTATTTATTTACGTTAATAATTAAAAGTTATAAATCCATTTTCAAATTAATATAGTAAACATAAAATTGTATCCGATTTCTTTAAAATATTTTTTTTTAATTTATTTAATTTTGGAGTCCAAAATTTCTAAGGAGAGTGATATATTGTGACAGATATTTGACATAAATTTTTGATAAAGATGACGTTACAATTATTCCTTCGATTTTATGTTTATCACGTTTTATATTATTGTAATAGAAAAATGCAATTTATGTTATTTCATATAGTTTATTAGTTATGTATGTAAGTTCTACTCTGTAGACTATTTTATATAAAATTATTGTTTAACTGTTCTATACATTTTCAAAGCGTAGGATATTTCAAATATGTCAAATAAATACTTTGACAAACTGTTGAACGTATCTGTGCAACAAAACTTCAGCTGTGGCCAAATGGACCTTCGATTATATGTCCAGCAAAGTTTAATAAAACATCTTAAAAGTTCAGACAACGGTCAACCCACGTCAGCAACTTTATTTGTGTTAAGCTATAAAGCACAAACTAGTTCCATAGTTACTTTTGATTAAGATCTAAATTAATATTTATAATGTTATTTTATACTATGTTATATGTATTTACGTTGTAATTGTTTTATATTATAGTTAGGGAAATGTTAATAAATATATTCGAAACATAGGTTGGCAATTTTAGAATAAGAAATTGAAGAGATGAAAGAAAAACCAGTTTTATGTGACGTGTAATTTCGACCTAATCTTAGACCATAACTATATTTGAGCATTCTAAATTTTATTGATAACTCATAAATCATAAATTCTTTTGTTGGTTATAGTCAGTTAAGGGTTACTAGGACATTCAAAACTTAGTATATAAACTGATCAAGCCGCTATACTATTAATAGAGAGTTTCTTGATATTCTAGGGGAGTCTCTTGGTTTTGAAAATAATTTAGATTTAAAATTATTTTTCTTTTAATTTTATTTTGAAAAAATAAATAAAGTTTATAAGTAACTAATATTTTAATTCAGAGGTTTATTTTAACAGTAATTATCATTGTTATTATTTGGTATTTAACTTGAATTGTTTGTAGTATTTTATCATTGTTTTCAACTTATTTTGACTTCAAAATGTGTACTTTGAAATTATATTGTAATTATTTCAATGTTTTCTTTATTAAATTAATAGCGAGTTTCTTGATATTCTAGTTTGGTTTTCTTTCCCGTTGCTGTTTCCGGCCTCCCACCGTGAGCCTCCCCCTAGATTGTGCCACAGTGCTTTACAATTGTCGGGATATAAAAACATCAAAAATACCAACACAATATAATGGTAGAGGACCATGTTTAGCAACGAAAAGAAAACAGCTAAACCAGGAAAGACTCCTGACAACTACAAGAAACAACTACACACCAAACTAGACTCTGCGTTTGAAGGTTTGGATATCTTTGCAGACCAACAGGAAGACGTCATCAGTTTTAAGAAGGGCTATCCAATTGCAAATTCAGTTGCCAATTGTGACAACGATACTACTATTCCTTACGTGGACGACCAGCCTTTTTCTCAGTCGTCGCCTATACATCAACAATCCAATCCCTTCGTTTCACCGTGGACAGGGCAGCCAACTCTTCCATCGAGTATCACACCCGTACGACCATCTATTATACACAGGCCATTGATTCCTTCCACTCTTTTGATCATAGACGTCTATTTGATACAATAATAAATTTATTTCAAATGTCTGTCACAATAGTTGTATTTGCAACTCCTCTCCGACAGAATTTCAATGAAGCGTTGTTGTTGTTTTACCTAAACTAAGGCTTGAACAACTTTAATTTGGATTTTTTTGGGGGTTTCCCACACGTATTTCCCATATATCTACAGAAGAGAATAGTCACATTGTAACTTCTCATAGACTGGTTATCCTATCCCATTCAAACTTTCACAAAATATTTTTATTATATAATCCACGGTGTATGTACATCCTATGTACGTACGAATGATTTTGGGTAGCTACTTATTCAAAAGATGTATGCATCGTGTATTGGCAACTCCTCTTATACCATTTTCACTAAAATATTTTTGTTCACTCTTTTCTCTCTCTCCCCCCTCCCCCCTCCTTTTCTTCATTTGTAGTTCGCATTATATCCAAAAATTGATCTCTTAACATGCATGGTCATCTTGTTATATTACATATTGTATTATGGAGAATACTTCTTAAGTATGTTGGATTTAATAAAGTTTTCACAGTATTTCAAGTACTTTATGCCTTTGTGTAACTCATATTCCAATTTCGATGCGATTGTCTTTTTATAGTTTCTCATGGTTGAATACGGACTTTGAAAAGTCTCCAAACTCGGCCTTGCAACTTCTCAAATATGACTGACTTTATGTGCTTAAACTTGTTCACAGACTAAGATATCTAGGAGCATTGGGTGGATTTCATTGAAACTTTCACATACTCTTCAATACATAATTTAATTGTGCATCCCCTAATTATATATATATTTTTTTTGCTCCAAAGAATTTTGAGTGAATCCTATATCAAAACATGAACATCGCTAGATCTAGACAAATGAAGGAATGCATGAATTTAGGAATTCTGGTTACAGTCTTTCTAGCATTAGCTTATTTTAAAGTCTGTCATTGTAATCCATTGGTATTGCCATGTTGTCCCTGTATTTTGAGTCTGTAGCACCCATACCGCCGATAACCAAAATCTTCCTTGAATAGACAATCGATTTCAAAAAATTTTGAGAGGTTTTGCTATATTTTTTTTTTCTCATATCAAAATATCGAGTCTACTCTTCTTTTTTACCCCATATTGCATCCACATCCCTCTTTCCTCTGAAATTACTACTTAACGTTTAATTGGTATCCTATGAAACTTTCAGATTTCCCGAAATGCAGATGAAATGGTTATGTGATTTTTCTTATATTTGGCCTGGAGCTTGATAATGTTGAGCTGTAGCTTGTACCCAATTGTTACACCTGCCGTACAGCCATTGCCTGTTTGCCGAAACTTTGAAATAT